ACTGTATACTTATTATAAAGTGTTACCATAGATTCTAAAAGAGTGAAAAAAAAAACATAAGCAAAAAGGAAAATACTTACCTTTGAAGAAATTCTAACGTGCAACAAGCCTCCTCTTGATACTGCAGGTTGAAGATGTAGTACACAGCAAACACTGCTGCAACTGCAGTCAAAAATGTTGACTGGACACACTCACAAATAACACAGCCCTCTAGGCTTATCATCTACCATACAGTATTTGCCATACCGAAAATAAAAATAAATAAAAACAATAACAATTAACACATTTTTTTCACAACTCATTTCAAAGAACTGCCTTCAAGAATTCAATTTTAACAATCGTGTACCATAGCAATGTTAACAATTTTATATATCAACCATTAGTAAATGTTTCTACTTCATCACATGTAATGAAACACTAACCCAGCAAAACCAGACGAGGACTCTTCTCGACATCAGATGCAGATGCAGCAACCTGTAGAGAACACACAATACACAAATAAAAAATACATAATATAATTTAGTGAAGTGGAAAGAAGAAAATTCAATACTTACGTCTGCATGCAAAACCAGTCCATCTTCATGTTCCTGGAAGTGGGATATTAGAATCTTGACAAGCAGGTGTGCCATCTCTATGTTCTCAGCCTGGGACAGGACAAGCTTCACCTTTTCATTCAAAACACGTATTAAACAATTAAAAATATTCTGTCTACCGCTCTCACACACACAACTGTATCCGAGTATGAGGAACAAGTTATAATGTAAGTGTCAGAATGAAGTAACATATAGAGGTTTTGTACGCGGTTTGCGCAAATTTATCCAGTGCAAAATCTGCGATTAAAATGTGCTCATATACAATGCCCACTTAATAAACAATAACTTAGAATATATTTAGATTACACTCTAAATTGCTTTAGATACAACTTAAGATGAAATCCGCGCAACACTTCCACTGAGAATGCGTCGCTCCGAAAATGCAAACGTTTCTCCCCATCCTCCACCGATCAAGTCAAGTGCTCATGCAAAAGGCGGCAAGTTTATATGCTTCTTTAGTAAAATTAAGTTTACACGCCTATTTTCGATTTCCCTATATATAAGGTTAATATATGCCAACTTTACACACGCCTAACTCAGGAACAAGAATGCAAATTAAGCAAATCCTCCATTTTAAACCGCACTGGGTTGGCGCCAATGCAAAACGCAAGTATAAAGATTGTGCAAATAATTGTTTCAGATAATCAAGCAAACACACTTACTTCA